GGTATATGGAATCAGAAACTTATCATTTATTAACAGTCATTTCGTGCCATTTCTACACGTTGCCAGAGTTGATCTGCTATAGCTACAGGTGCAGAGACATTTGCTTCAGGAACATCGACCAACATGTCCGATTGGTGACTTTCTGCTCCAGAGTTAATATTTGAGGAACAAACTTGTAAGATAATATTTTAAGGTCCAGATCATTATGGATAATGGAATGACATATCCTAAATGAAACTCTGGTTTCTTCGGACACCTTTTTGATTAATATAAAGCAATAACGCGCCATCCCTATATAGGAAATGAAACACAAAAACACGAGTGTTTCCCATACATTTAAAACACATTCTACTGTCCCGCTGTAAGGACAGTAGAAGGTTGTTCTATTTGAAATATGTGTTTTAGTTTTTCTCACTTCCTTGATTATTATTTTCGATATCGAAACACAAGGACTTTATATTTTCAACATTATCTGGAACACATCATTTTAGGTCGTTCACACCTTGTTTCATCTTCCACCTAAGTTCAGCCATCTTTACGCTCTTCAAACATTCTATCTCAAAAATGCTGACCTTCCTTTAAAATATTATTCTCCAATACATTTTTTAACAAAGCGAATCTTTCATTGGGTGGTTTACCGAGAGAGATTCGGAAACAGAAAATAAAACATATTAATTCCTTTTAATGTCCGTTTTGATTTATCCACGCCGCTAATACTATATATTCTAAAAATTAAATGATTTTTATAATATGAGGCGCACGCGCAAGAATTTACATTCGCCTGATGTTAATTTTCTTTCTCTTTTTAATAAGCGTGTAGAAAATTTTTACAATATGTATTCTTTTTTTTCATTAGGCACATTCAGGATCTTTTTGTGATCATCCCTTGTATTTTATATTTTATTAAGGTTAACTGTAGCAGTAAACCTGTTTTTAGGTTTATGAATAAAACAATATATTAAGTATGAACCCATATAAATTATAATCCTTCTGACATGGTAGATGAGATATAGCCACGCTTGAAGTGTAAAAGGGAGATCAAGAGGAACGTGGTGAGTTTCTTTATTGAGAGGTACACAAGCTTTCGGACGTCACCCGTCCTTCATCAGGTGTTGACATGAATAATAAGGAGATGCTATATTTATAAGCGACAGTTTAAAAGTATTAAAAAATATTAAAAACAATCTGATGCACGCCCGCGAGAGCACATGCCAATAACAAAATATTTTCAATTTTACTTTGAGTTTGTATAAAGAGAGGCGAAGACAAAAGCAAGAAAAAACAAAAATAAAAATAAAAAATAAAAATAGAAAATCAGCGGAATAAAGATAAATTTAAAAGTTACGAAGAAGGTGTATCTGAGGTAGAATAAAAAACAGAATATTGGGGCGGGAGGTCAATCTTTCTGTTGAGGCTGGGGGTAGTATTAGAAACAAGGGCCTCAAGAACTAAGCGTTGGTATTTGTTTGCTATATCGCTATAAACGGCCGCTCGAAAGACAAAAAATCGCTCATATACCAACATATCGCCGAGTCCGGACATTCCTTCAATCTCAACAATACAACCCCCGTTTATAGCGATATAGCAAACAAATACCAACGCTTAGTTCTTGAGGCCCTTGTTTCTAATACTACCCCCAGCCTCAACAGAAAGATTGACCTCCCGCCCCAATATTCTGTTTTTTATTCTACCTCAGATACACCTTCTTCGTAACTTTTAACTTTATCTTTATTCCGCTGATTTTCTATTTTTATTTTTTATTTTTATTTTTGTTTTTTCTTGCTTTTGTCTTCACCTCTCTTTATACAAACTCAAAGTAAAATTGAAATATTTTGTTATTGGCATGTGCTCTCGCGGGCGTGCATCAGATTGTTTTTAATATTTTTTAATACTTTTAAACTGTCGCTTATAAATATAGCATCTCCTTATTATTCATGTCAACACCTGATGAAGGACGGGTGACGTCCGAAAGCTTGTGTACCTCTCAATAAAGAAACTCACCACGTTCCTCTTGATCTCCCTTTTATAATCCTTCTATTTAATACATAATGTTATTGAAAAGGTAGAATATCTTGAATATTATTTGAAAAAATGATTCTGAGTTCATTAGTTTCAATCGTAATTTTCCTAATGTATTCTGCTAAGAACATTTGCAGAGTCCGGTAGTTTGCCTAGGTGGTCAATAGATGGCGCTTAGTTAAAAGTTAGTTTTGATGTGAGAGGTGGTCTTTCTTATTATAGACTTAAATTATGAATCTCTACAATTCTTAATTGAAATATGATATCAATTAACGTTAATGATAGAAAAATGTTTTAAAATGAAAGAATGTATCGTTTTTCACTTGATATGTTTGTAGGTGATATTTGACATTGACATTACTCCCTACTGTTCTCAAACTGTGATGATGAAATTTGGGATGGCCTAGTTCATGAGTGATGGAACCTCTAGGCGCTTTCACAAATTTAATCTACCAGGTTTTAATGTATGGTGCCCGTTTTATGCGCCCACTTCTCTAAAACACCTCTCTTAAAGTGATTGTTATCCACAGAGTGTCCATTTTTGTCTAAATATTATCGGCCAATGTTCATTGAAAAATAAATATTCAAAAATCAAATATCTGATCTTTGCTTCCTCATTTGAAATAAAAGCCATCAAAAAAATTGAGTTCTACATTACAAATTGAAAACTAATTCTGAATTTAAAAAGTGCCACATGACCAGGATTCGAACCTGGGTTATTGTGGCCACAAATATATGTTGTATTCCATAAATAACCTACCCCAGGTATACATTCGGTGACTGTTTTACTGACTGTCAATCGAAATCACAACAGTTATTATCAACAATAATGGTCATAATGGTCGAAAAAGCAGCAATTTCATTCAATTTGCACTTATGATATTTTAAAATAGCATAAACCTAGGGTATTGTATTTTAATTGGCTGGCTGTAGTAAATTATATATAATTAATTTTCAAAAAATTGTTTTCGTTTTTTATTTTGGAAATATTTCACTTTCCCAAAGTTAATTATTTTATCAAAATAAAAATAAAAATTGTCAAAAAAAAAATGTGCCGTGACCAGGATTTGAACCTGGGTTATTGCGGCCACAACGCAATGTCCTAACCACTAGACGATCACGGCAGGTGACAACTGGACCCTTATAGGGCTACTTGAGGGGAGGAACAAGGTCATGTGATGTAAAGCGACATTGCCCAACCTTCCTGCTTCCAACCTCCATTATGACCATTGTAAGTCAATTGTTTCCTCGTGTGTACTCACGGAAATAAGCATTTAGGGAAAACAACTATTGAAAAGCTGTTTAGACGTTTAATTGTTATTTTGTAAACTACACAAAAAGAGACGACATACAAATGGCCACTTTGTATCACCTGAACATATTCTTCCCCTCAAATAGACCTTCAAGTGTCCAGTTGTCACCCGCCGTGATCGTCTAGTGGTTAGGACATTGCGTTGTGGCCGCAATAACCCAGGTTCGAATCCTGGTCACGGCACCTTTTTTTTTTTAAATTTGGACATAAATTTTGAAATTCGATAAAATAGTTAACTTTGGGAAGGTATATAATGTCAACATAGCATATCCTGCAACTTTCAAAATTTAAAAAAAGTATTGTATAATATTGTAGCAAAATATTAATTTTTTTATTAATATCATCATATATCAATAGTATCATTTTTATGTTTATAGTTTGCTACTCTGTAAACTTCCCTCATAGCTTATCTTTTGTTTATCATTCATTGTTTGTTCTTGCCTTGAATAAATTGCTGTCATCCAGACGTTTCTCTTTCCTAATTTTCAACTTGGCATTTTGGTGGAGATGCTAGGTAAATTAGTGAAGTCAAACTGAAGATCGCCGAGAAGACATAGAGGCCATGGATGCTGTGATCTACATTTTCAGAGAATGGTTCTAGGATTCCACCTCCATGTCAAATCCAAGACTTCCCTCCAAGATGACTATGTTCCTATAGACGATGTGACGACAAAGCCGCTCTTCACGCGGCGAGAAAAAGAACGCACAGGTGTTATTGACAAAGTTCCAAGACTTCGATGGAATCCTTGGCAGAACCATTAGATCCATGTCAGTAACTACAATAATTGCAAGCTGTGGGTCACAGCTCCCATATTGATAGAACTATGTTGCAAAGTATTTATTATTTTATTAACAGAGTATCATTTTTAAGGTTTATATTTGAAACTCTGTAAATTTCCCTCATTGCTTAACTTTTGTTTATTATTCATAGTTGTTCTTGCCTTAAATAAAATGCTGTCTAATTCTTAAATTTGTCTTTCCTAATATTTCACATGGCCATATTTTAAGGCGTAATTGTCTGAGAGCCAATTAAAATACATTACCCTAAAGTTATGCTCTATGAAAGTACCATAAGATATAAATGCATATTATATGAAATTGCATCTTTAAGGCCGAATTGTACAACCATGTTGACAATAAATGCTGTGATTGGGATGGACTCAAAGAAAGAAGCAACAATTGTTTGCCTTGAGGTAGGACATTTATAGAATATAACATATATTTAAAGAGTAGCAACATTTCTATGTGAACTTCATTATAAAAAAATGTATACCACTCTTTGGTATTGTTCTAATCAATAAGAATATTTATTTAGTTGACCAAATTTACACTCAAGGACGAACTTAGGAAGTTGGTGGAGTAGATAGCATTATGACAACTGGACACTTACAGGGCTACTTGAAGGGAACGATATGGTCACGTGATACAGAATTGCAATTAGTACATCGCTTTCTTGTAGGTTATTTATATAAAAACATTGAACGCCTAAACAACTTTCGAGATAATTTTTTCTCCAATGTTTATTTCCGTGAGTGCAAACACGAGGAAGCAATTTACCTACAATGGACATAGTGATGGTTAGAAATAGAAAGATTGCTGCAATGTCGCTCTACATCACGTGACCTTTTTCTTCCCCTCAAGTAGTCCTGTAAGTGTCCAGTTGTCACCCGCCGTGATCGTCTAGTGGTTAGGAGATTGCGTTGTCGCCTTGATAACTTAGGTTTGAATCCTGGTTATGGCACTTTTTTAAAATTTAGAATTAGTTTTCAAGTTGTAATGTAAGACTCAATATTTTTGATGGCTTTTATTTTAAATGAGGAAGCAAAGATTAGATATTTGATTTATGAATATTTATTTTTCAATGAACATTGACCGATAATGTTTTGAAAATTTAGCAACTCATAATAAATAAATCTTAAAATAAAAAGCATATATTGGATCAAAATATCATATATTTTACCAATATTTCAGTTGGCTGAACGCCAACCTTTATCAAGGTTTTATAACATTTTAAAGTGTGTTAACAACAGACTCAGCGTCAAATAACGTCAATAGAATTGAGTTTAAAAATATTTTTGCTTATATTCAATGGGGAGAAAAAAAATGATATATAAATTCATATTATGAACAAAATTAATTTTGTATAATAAGGGTATGGATATTTTGAATATTAACAATAACGCTTATTTTATTATTAAATTTATTTGCACAATGTGTAAAAATATTTTTTATATAAAAATAAAATAAAAATAACAAATTATATATAAAAGAAATGCTGAACTAAAATTTTTCATCGAAAACCTCATGGTTATAAAATGTTTGCAAAGTTGGTTAAATTAGTTAAATTATTATTATTTTATAATTTAACCAACTTTGCAAACATTTTATGCACTTTTTGTTTTCGATGAAAATTTTACTTCAGCATTTCTTTTATATATAATTTGTTATTTATAATTTATTTTTATATAAAAAAATCTTTTTACACATAGTACAAATAATTCAAATATAAAATAGGCGTTATTGCAATATTCAAAATATTCACACCCTTATTTTACAAATTTTATTATATTAATATATATTTAAGAGTGTAAAGATGGTGTGTTGAACTTACGTGAAAGATTTCACGAGGGGTGAATGACCTAAAATGATGAGTGTTCCTGATAATATTAAAAATATAAAGACCTGGTGTTTTTCCATATCGAAAAATAATAATCAAGGAAATGAACAAAACCGAGACACATATTACATATAAAACAAACATCTACTGTCCTAACTGCGGGACAGTAGAGTGTGTTTTATATATATGGGAAACACTCGTGCTTTGGTGTTTCATTTCCTATATATGAATGGCGCGTTATTGCTTTATATTAATCAAAGAAGTATCCAAAGAAACCAGAGTTTCATTTAGGATATGTCATTCCAATACCCATGATGATCTGGGCGTTAAAAGACGATCTTACAAGTTTGTTCCACAAATATTAATTATAGATCAGAAAGTCGATAATCTAAAATGTTGGTCGATATTCTCAAAGCAAATGCCTCTGCACCTGTAGCTATTGCAGATCAACTTTGGCAACGTGTAGAAGTGGCATGAACTGGCTGTTAGTGAAATTGTTAAAATTGTGATGATTTTATACGTTTTTAGTATAATAGAAGAAAAAAAAATTATGAACATAATATATACCCCGCTTTGGGCGCCATTGTAATAATCGGGAGGTTTTATACGTTTTTATCGTTGTTGTGTCTTTAAATAAATTATTTCCAGATCTCTACATGTCCAAACATTCGGGCGCCAGTGGCTGGAGAAAGCAGACCACAAATTTATTCATCTATGGCACATTTAGAGACCTAAAGCTGTGCCGTATAGCAATAGATGTTAATGGGGAAATTAAGCAATCATTTTTTGGCAAAAAAATTTATTCAGACCAATAAAATAATATTTCAATGTACATCAGGTATATTCAATAAAAACAAAGAAATATTACTCAATAGTCACGCATATATACAGTATATAAGATTTAAAAAAAGGTATTAAAAAACTATATATATGGTTAAAATGGAGATTTTAAAAGTATATATAAACTTTATACACAAGGCCTATTATGCCAAAATTACCGGATTATCCCCACCTACCTCGACATCCAGCCACCAAAGTCCAGGATTCGAAAAAAGGGCTGCTAAGGCCGCAGCCAGCGGCCTAAGCCTTCAGCAACTCACAATCCTCAGCTTTCAGGAAGAAATCAAACTCTCACTAAAAAAAAGTAAATATCCCGCTTCCTTGCCCCAGTGTTGCTGGACTCACCCCCCAAGACTATCATCTCACTCTTCTCTATATGAAAATAAAATTAAAAAGGCATCTTAAAAAAATGATAAAAATAAATTAAATATAAAAATTATTGAAGAAATATCCACAAAAAATAAAATAAAAATACGAAAATATTAAATTGAAAAAAAAAATTTAAAAATATAATTAATATTGTCAGATCTGGGCATCTTGGGATTAGCTTGGGAAAGGTTCAGGGCTCGTGTTGGAGCTGGTGTTCTGCATGAAGATGGTGATTATAACACCTACCATGGGCTTGTCGCTTGCCCAGAGGCATGCTGGAGTCTGGCTTGATACTGGGGGAGTCAGGTCAAGCACCATAGGTCGGTGGCTTGACTACAGGGAAGGGGCGTCTGAGTCCATCTTGGAATCTGGCTTGTGGTCAAGTCGGCCACCATCGGACATGTGGCTCGACCACCAGGAAGGGGTGTCTGAGTCCATCTCAGACTAGCTTGGTATGGCCAGGTCATCCACCACAGGTCAGGTGGCTTGACCGCAGGAAGGGGATCTTAGTCTCTGGCTCGGTGCTGCCAAGGCTAAAAGGTGGCTTCAGGCTCCATCTTGACACCTCGTAATCACCAGAGGTTTATGGCTTAGATGGACAAAGGTGGGATATGGTTAGGTTAGGTGGGGTTCTGGGTTATTTTGGCATATTATAGTCACGAGGTGTCTCGAAAAAATAATAGGTTTCTGATTTCATATAACATCGTATATATATACAATTATTTACATATAACTCATATGATCAATATATTATGAGTGAGCTGAATATAAATTGAGTCAAGATAATAAATAAACTATTATTGATTGAAACAATGACAAAATAAAAGTGATAGTATTTTTTAATAATGGAGTTTATCCAGAGTTGTTTCTATTCTGTAAATATATGTTGTATTCCATAAAAACCTACCCCAGGTATACATTCGGTGACTGTATTACTGACTGTTAATTCAAATCACAACAGTTATTATCAACAATGATGGTAATAAAGGTCGAAAAGCAGCAATTTCATTCAATTTGCACTTATGATATTTTAAAATACAATAACCCTAGGGTATTGCATTTTATTTGGCTGCCTGTAAATTATATCTTCAAATATCAAATAAATTGTTTTCGTTTTTTATTTTGGAAATTTTCACTTTCCCAATTACCTTTCAAAAGTTAATTATTTTATCTCAACAAAAAAATATTTGTATAAAAAAAAAGTGCCGTGACCAGGATTCGAACCTGGGTTATTGCGGCCACAACGCAATGTCCTAACCACTAGACGATCACGGCAGATAACAACTGGACACTCATAGGACTACTTGAGGGGAAGACTGGTCACGTGACACAAAGTGGCCATTTGTCATCGCTTTCTGATAGTTTATTTTACTGAAGAACAATTGAGCTTCTAAACAGATTTTAAAATACTTTTTTCTCAATGCTTATTTCCATGAGTGCGCGCGCGCACACAGGAAACAATTTAATTTCATTGGACATAGTAGAGATTGGAAATAAGAAAAATCCTGCAATGTTGCTCTAGATTACATGACCAATTTCTTCTCCTCAAGTAACCCAGTAAGTGTCCAGTTGTCAACTGCCGTGATCGTCTAGTGGTTAGGACATTGCGTTGTGGCCGCAATAACCCAGGTTCGAATCCTGGTCACGGCACCTTTTTTTCTTTGAAGTATTTTTTATCTTGTTAAGACTCTACTCTGTGAAGGTGTTTCAATTTAATCAGATAATCAAATATTATATATTTTATTTTAGAAGATGGTGAAATACATGTATATATGGAGATAATCAGGCAAGTTAAAATTTTCTGTCTAGCTATTTTCTCTCCCATGCAATCGTCACAGTTGTAGAGAGTGTCAGAAGATAAGAGGGTGAAACTATTTAAAGAAATTTTTAACATTTTGAATATCTCTATAGAGACCAATCTATTTTCCAAAGCGTCACTTTGAACAAATCAAGTAGTCAATTTCAATTAATATTGACAAATAATATCCAGACAAAAATAGACACTTTGTGTGAAACAATCATTTTTCAAGATAGTATATGTGTTATAGAAATGGGCGCATAAAATGGAAATCATAAACCTAGTAAATTTAATTGGCGACACCACTTGGAGGTTTCATCACTCATGAACTAGCCCATCCCAAATTTCAATTTCACATTTTGAGGACAGTAGGGGAGTAAGGTCAATGTCAAATATCACATACAAACATATAAATTGAAAAACGATACATTCTTTCAATTTTAAAACATTTTTCTATCATTAACGTTAATTGATATCATATTTCAATTAGGAATTGTAGAGATTCATAATTTAAGTCTATAACAAGAAAGACCACCTCTCACATCAAAACTAACTTTTAACTAAGCGCCATCTATTGTCCACCTAGGCAAATTAGCGGATTCTGAAAATGTTCATAGTAGAATACATTAGGAAGAGTACGATTGAAATTAATGAATTCAGAATCATTTTTTCAAATAATATTCAGGATATTCTACTTAATCAATAACATTATGTATTAAAAAGAAGGATTATTTTTTATATGGGTTCGTACTAAATATATTGTTTCATACATAAACCTAAAGACATTTTTACTGCTACAGTTAACCTTAATAAAAATATAAAATACAAGGGATGATCACAAAAAGTTCCCGAATGTGCCTAATGAAAAAAGAATACATATAATAATAAATCTCTACACGCTTATTAAAAAGAGAAAAGAAGTTAACACCAGGTGCATGTAAATTCTTGCGCATGCTCCTCATATTATAAAAATCATTTAATTTTTAGAATATATAGTAGTAGCGGCGCGGATAAATCAAAATATGGACATTAAAAAGAATTAATATGTTTTATTTTCTGTTTCCGAATCTCTCTCGGTAAACCACCCAGTGAAAGATTTGATTTGTTAGAAAATGTA